AGAGCATATTATTTCACCATCTTAGTCGTACAGACTACTATAGGTAGTTCCGACTTATGTGCAGTGTAGTGCCGTACAGATCACAGTTGGTGACTCCGGCAGGGCCGTACAGGTCACAGTTGGTGACTCCGGCTGGATGGGATATTGAGCTATAGAATCAGCTGTACAGGACCACTGTAGGGTCTCCGTTTGATTTATTAATTCACCTGTTATATTGATGCATCCATATTCTGTTATTGACATTTATGGCATGGCATGATTTCTGGATTTTGATAAAGATTGATGATTTGAGATATATGAGGTTATATATACTATTATGTTATTTTCTGGGAAAGTATACAGGTTTTACAGTGAGGGATTAGAAATGTTTTAAAGGAAATGTTTTCGAAAAACTTTGTTTTACTGACCCACTCAATTTTGTTTTGCGCCCCTCCAGGTTCTAGATAGCAGAGTTTTGGTGGCCACGAGGAATCCAATGGTGTTCTGACAGAATTCACAAAAGTAGGACTCACCCTCGGGTGTTTCATCTTAGTAATTGTATCTTTAAAGCTTCCGAACTGTGTAAATGGTTACGTCACTCTCACGTGACGACCAGCATGCCCTTCTTCGGGACGGGGTGTGTCAATAATCTTCACTTCTTTTTTTATTTTTTTTTTTGAAAAATAAAAATCTTTCAACTCATGCATAATATGTGACTTTACGCGAAGTTACCATTCAATGTTAATTCAAAGATTATTTTGTGAAATGGGCCTAAAACCTAAACAAAACTAGAAGGTTACATTTAGGCCTAGAAATGTTATCGTTTTTTTTTTTTAAATGGGACTAGCTAGTAGTTTTGCCACTACAATCTACTTTTCAGGGACGGAGAAAACTCACAAAGGTATTTAAACTTCTCCCCTAACCCACTATCGTGTGATTTTCACCTGAGCCAGAAATCAAACCCAAAACGTGACGTATGAAACTACAAATTCTATCACTTAGGAGGTTCCTAAGTTATAAATCACAATTTATTTCCAAAAGATATAGAAAGCACTTATTTTTATTTTTTTACAATGCACAAGGAACAACTCAAATGAAGGCCACAAACTGAGTTAACGAATAACCATAGATAGATGGATAGAGTGGGAGGAGGTGAATGTAAATCAGTGGCCAGCAAGTGCAACCACTTGTTTTCCAACGTTGCGACCATTGAAGAGTCCAACCAAGGCTGCCGGACCATTCTCGAGGCCTTCAACTATGTCTTCCACATACACCAATTTCCCTTGTCGGATGTGTGGCAGCACAAACTCATAGTATTCGGGGACAATGTGATCGTAATCGCGATGAGTAAATCCGTGTATATGCAGCCGCTTGAAAATAATCTGCATCACGTTTTTAATCCCCTGAGTCTCGGGAAGATTGTACTGCGAAATCATTCCGCACATGGCCATGCGACCGTGTTCTCTCATGTTGAGTAGCACGGCATCAAGCAGTTTCCCGCCAACATGCTCAAAGTAGACGTCGATTCCTTGAGGAAAGTACCTTTTCAAAGCTGCGTCTAAATCATGCTCCTCCTTGTAATTGAAAGCCTCATCGAACCCTATCTTGTTCTTCAGCAGATCAACCTTTTCTTTACTCCCAGCACTTCCAACGACATAACAACCTGCCAATTTTGCAAATTGTCCGACGAGCTGACCTACTGCACCAGATGCTGCGGACACAAAAACGTACTCTCCTTTCTTAGGTCGACATACTTCAAAGAAACCCGCATACGCAGTCTTACCGGCCATACCTGCATGAGCATCCACCAAGTGTTTTAGCGCACGAAAATAGTCATTATAAGCGCGCCTGCATGAGAAAGTGCTATACTTACCGAGAATTCCAGTGTAGTAGGAAAGGGGTACGTCGGTGTGGTGGATTTTGATGAGGCTTTGAGGGTTTGGGAGGAGGCTGTACTCTTCCCATCTGGTTAGCCCCCATACCAAGTCACCTTCTTTAAATTCTGGATGACTTGAATCCAAAACTTTAGCCACGCCATATCCACAAATTGGCTGTATTCAAAATAAGGGAACTTTCATTGATTTTACTTGCATCAAAATTTCCATCAAGTTTTAAAAAATTAAGAATGTGTAAAAAGTTAAAATGTGATAGTAAAAACATGACTTACAGAGCCAGGAGAAGGATAAATGTATTTACTCATTCTCTGATCTGATTTCATGATAAGAAATCGCATCATGGGATCGCAGGACAAGTAGAGGTTCTTCACCAAAACCACGTTTGAATCTTGTGGAGGAACCTTCAAACTTAAGGTATTAGTTGTGACATACATGTCTGATTCCGTAGGAGACCGGCCATTAACGAAGTCCCTCAGAAGCACCTGCTTGTTGCTCATCACTTGTGCCATTGCTATATAGCAACTTATTAGGGCCTAATTTGTCTTTCCCTCTTCAAGTCTTAAGCTGCAGTATGAGCAAAATTTGTAGTTTGTTTCCTGATCTGCTGGTTATTAGCAGATATTGTATTTAAGCTATATATTTATAGCACAATCTGCAGCTTCTTTTAGTCACGTTTCTCAAACAATATGACTTTTTCTTTTCAGTCACGTAATTGCTTACGAGAGGGAAGAGGTAACTGGGCTGTTTTGTTGTGTTGGAATATGGTGAATTTTGGTTACGTAATAAATTAGTACAATCAAGCTAGCTAGCTTTTACAGGTGTGATGTCCAAATTAAACCATGACAATTTCACTTAATCACCATGTCTTGTTTGTTGCATCGTAATCAAACTTAAACAAGTTATCTTTTGGTCAGAATGTCAACAATTAATGTCAAATCAAGTCATTTGCCAAATCCTTTTTGTCTTCTTCGTTCTATGATTGTTACTTTTATGGAACTGTCTTTAGTTTTTGTTCTTGCCGAAGTAGCGCAAGCTTTTTGGACTTCCGGTGATGATCACTTTTCTATACTATTTTACAATTTATTGTCCATAAAAATTTGAGTATAAGGCATATTAAAGAAGAAGATATTAGTAGAGCTGCCTTATAAAAGGGCAGCTTTCACAAATTGAATGGGCTGTTTTGTAAGAGAGTCATGTTTTTATAAGAAATGCCTTACAAATAGCGTGAACGGACGTTACGGACCCCATTTTCCAAATTTTTCTCCGCATCGAGGGTATGTATGTATTGTTTTTTTTCATCAATTCCTTCCATCTTCTTTTTCTCTTTTTTATATAAAAACATTATGTGAATAAAAGTAAGGTTTCACCACAAAATCAACTGGTAACTTAAGGTATAGTCCAATTATTTATAAGCAATGTAGTGGTGATTCGGGAAAAATTGTTTGGGTGGTGACTTGTAAAAACAAACATTTCTTTGACAACTTAAAAATTAAATTATAGTCCATCATTCATAATTCATGAAACAAATAATATTACAAACTACGATTATTCATTATAAGCAACAATTTTACAGCATGATTTCGTATTTGAAAATGTTGTATTATAACTTCATTACCAATGCAAGAAAAGTGGAATTTTATACGGTCTGGAATTGGGGTTGGGATTTGGTTAAAATTTGGATTTTAAAGATCTGGGGTTATATATATATGTCTAGACTAGAAGCTAAAGTTTTTTTTTTTAAGCGGTCAGGTCTCATTATATATATATAATGACTTGGTTTCACTGCGTGCAAAGCTGCGGATCAGCAGCAAAAAGAGACTTTGTGTCAGCAACAAAGGAGTAGCACAAAATGCCCTGCCCTGCCATACCTAATGTTCATTGAGGCATTTCATCAAGCAGGGCATATCTCAAGGACAACTCGAAGCTTTAAAGGGGCCTAACTTAAGTCTTCCATTGAGGTTTGTCATATTTAGGAGGGTTCCTCCCGCCCCTTAGTGGTCAGCTAACCTTTCTTTCCCCAATGTGAGATTCGCTCTCAACACTATGGAAAGTAAAAGATGTTGGATTTGTTCGGCATAAATCAACCTTATTATGGTCTACTGCATGTAATAGGAATGTATCATTATAGAATAATATATATTGTGATTTAGTTACCCAAAAATATCAATCCTATATTTGGGGTCTTATATAGGAAATATGATTGATGTAATCCTTATATGATTATGATTATGATACATTATTTGGAGGTCAAGAAAGTAGATTTAATGTTTCCTTTATGGATGGAACTTTATAATCTTTGGCCTACATAAATACCGGTCCCTATGAACCCTAAAAACACACGACAAGAGCTTCCCATAGAGCATTGTGTTAAGGTTAGGAATTCATAGAAGGTTTGGTATTCTCGGAACAATTATTTTCATGGCTGCTGCAGGAAACAAATCAGGTTAGGGTTTCTTTCATTATTTTATGTACTGTTGTTTATGCATGCAGTGTTCTAGTCATATAACCACATTAAGATAACAATTGGTATCAGAGCCATAGGTTATATGGTTAAAACCTGCAAATCACAGTTATAAACAATGCTCGTATAATCTGCTAAATGAACGGTGCATTAGTACCTATAAAGTCTGTGTGATCAGTATATATATATATATATATATATATATATATATATATATACCCGATTAGAACATATATTCAAGCCCTAGCCGTTTATCGTGAAATAGCTGAGTAATATAATCAAGTTATTGTTCACAATTGCATTCGAAATCATAACGTGAAAGCAGTTCATCTGCTTATAGGTGTTGATCATGTTTTCATGGTTAGACTTTGAATGGCGTAACATGATATATACATTATACTAGTTGTGGTTTTTTCTATCTGCTCATATGTGTTAGAAACTGCCATGAAAGTACCTGATATAATGTATATGTTAGTGTTAGAAACATTTTAATTCATCTGCTCCTAAGTGTTGAATTAATCTTGTCTTATAAAGTTTATTGGGAGGTTTAATTTTTAAAGTATGCACGTCACACATCAGTTATGAATGCCGTGAACACAGTTCGAACCTTAAGCGGTACAAACTACCAAAAGTGGAAGCAAGACTTAGACATATGCCTGGGGTTAATGGATCTTGACATAGCTATCAGGGAGGACTCTCCCCCAGAACCTGCTGCGGATGCAACTGTGGATGTCAAGGCCAAGCACAAAATGTGGTTGAAAGCAAATCGTATTGCTCTTCTGGTAATCAAAAAGTCCATGTCTGACACAGTGAGGGGAGGAATACCAGATTCTAAGAATGCAAAGGAGTATCTGCCCTCGATCCATGAGAAATTCAAAGAATCAGACAAAGCTGAAACAGGTAATCTCATGAATGACCTTATGTCAAAGAAATATAATGGTATGGGATGTGTAAGAGAGCATATACTGGAATTGCTTGACATTGGTGCAAAACTGAATGCACTGGATGTTCCTATGAGTGATCCATTCCTGGTTCATGGAGCACTTAATTCATTACCTAATGAATACTCCAAATTGAAGAGCACATATAATGCATAGAAAGAAAAGTGGAGTTTGAATGAATTAATTGCTATATGCATGCATGAAGAACAACACATCAGGTCTGAGATAGTTGATAAGAAGATCAACATGGTAACCGAGTTCAAGAACAATGTTCAGAAGCAAGAAAGTGGGAAGGACACATCGAAGCTTGGAGTGAATAAAAACTCCAAGAGCACCAAAGGGAAGTGTTTCTTTTGCAAGAAACCTGGCCATATGAAGAGAAACTGTCAGAAATATAAGAAGTGCCTCGACAGTGGCAAGGGAAAAGGTAATATTGCAATTTATAGAGCTGAAGTATTAGTTTGTTTTGAATCAAATAACATTGAATTTGATAAAGCTTCATGGTGGGTTGACAGTGGTGCTTCAATACATGTGACAAATTCTTTGCAGGGGTTCATAAACAAGAGGGTGCCAAGAAAGGATGAAATCTCAGTGATCGTGGGAACTGGAGAAAAAGCCGCTGTCAAGTTCATTGGAACAGTTAGAAATAAGCTAGAGTCTGGTTTTATTTTGGAATTACAAGATGTATGTTATGTACCTTTAATTAGAAGGAACTTAGTATCAGTTAGTCAACTTGTTAAGAAAAATTTCGAGTTATCAATAAATGACAGTGGCTTCATTATTTACCAAGATTTGCAAGTTATTGGAAATGGTTTTCATATTGGTGGCATGTTTCAACTTAATTGCAAAGAATCTTGTTACATGGCTAACATGGTTGTACAGAAAAGACTTAATCAAAGTGAGACATCATCGACTCTCTGGCACAAAAGATTGGGACACATATCGATTGAGAGGGTTAAGACCCTAAGTAAAACTGGTATATTGCTAGAGCTAGAATTAGATCACTATGTCACATGTATTGAATGCATAAAAGGAAAAATGGTTAACTCACACAAAAAGGAGGCAACTAGAAGCAATGATCTCCTTGAACTTGTGCACGTGGATATATGTGGACCTTTCCCCACTTCAACATATGATGGTTATAAGTATTTTATAACTTTCATAGATGACTACTCGAGGTATTGTCACTTATATTTGTTTCTTAAAAATCAAGTGCACTTATGGCTTTTAAAAATTACAAGGCTGAGGTAGAGAAACAGTTAGAGAAAAGAATTAAGGTGGTGAGATCCGACAGAGGGGGTGAATACTACGGAAGATATACTGAGCATGGTAGAAACCTTGGACCCTTTGCACTTTAGTTGCAAAATGAAGGGATACTAGCTCAATACACGAATCCTGGTACTCCACAACAAAATGGAGTGTCAGAAAGGAAGAATCGTACATTAAAGGACATGGTAAGAAGCATGATGAGTGCAATGAATCTGCCAATGTACTTGTGGGGTGATGTTATTAAGACTGCAAACTACATATCCAATAGAGTTCCCAGCAAATCTGTGTCTACCACACCCTTTGAATTGTGGTACAAAAGAAAGCCAAGTCTGCAACATTTGAGAATTTGGGGTTGTAAGGCTGAGGCAAGAGTTTATAACCCTCAAGAAAGAAAGCTAGACCCTAAGACAATGAGCTGTTACTTCGTGGGATATCCTTAGGAATTTCTTTCCATTTCCATTCGCATCTTTAATGGGTCCTCGATAACCCAAGAAGGACAATTACGGGAATTTCTTCCCACCTCCAAACATGAATAAAAGGAAATTGAGATAAGCCTAATGGCTTCCATCTCACCGTTTCCATTTACCAATAAATAAGACATCTTCTCACATATTCAGTGACATCCCATTCATACAATGTTAGTAATAAAATAGACAAAAACAGTGGTACAATTTAATACTGTCAGTATGCATGACGTACGGTGAAATGTAAGCCTCACCAAAAATTTTCCCTTTTCCAACTTCATCGCCTTTAGGCAAAAGCAACTTGTTTCGTATCAAGAGAGTTCCTATTTCACGAAGAGAAAACGATAGTGGTCCTGGATAGCTCTAATGAAAGTAAGCTGCCCATGGGGTTTTCCGACTAAGAGCATCAGCTACGACAATTGCATGACCATGATGGTACTCTAAGGTGCAATCGATTCACCGATGAGTTCCATCCACCTCTTCAATCACAACTCAAGTATTTCTGTGTGAAAACACATTACACTTCTTTGATAAAAAGGATGCAACATTTCTCACTACAGAGAAAACGTCACCAAATTTTACAACAATGAAGATCTTTATCAATTCTAGGTCAAAGATAGGATAGTCTACATCAAGCGGTCCCAATCGTCATGAGGTACATGCGTAACTCGATTATGCTGCATCAGCATGCAACCAAACATTTAATAATAGACCACCGTAAAATTCGAAAAGTGTAAGAACTACGATCAGATGAGACAATACCTCGTTGTCAGAACTTCGTTCACCGTCAGCATCGCAATAAAGTTGATTGGTTTCTTAGCCAGAAAGGAAATAGGTCTGAGCTCAAAGATTAGTTAAGAACTGCTGATAGGATTTGACAAGACCAAAGACATTTCGTATTTCACAACATCTTGTGAGGATTTTCAATTTCCAATGGTCGTAACCCCTTTTGGAAATTGATGAGAATAACATCTGCTATCAAAGAAACTCCCAAGAAGAGTATCTACTCTAAATCCAAAAAATGTTAATTTGATGTAAAATTGATTGTCGATGTTTAGTAAACTTGACCTCGTGGTTGGAGTAAGCAAAAAGGTTATCGATAGAACAATAGCCGAGAATTGTTCTAAAGATCCAAACGAATTTCCTCAGCGGGAGCGAGTCCGAGGACATTGATGCGATCCCACCAAACTAACACTTACTAAACTTTGTAACAACTAGCGTTTACTCGCTTTCTCTAACACAAACTTCATAACAATCCATGGTAAAAATATTCAGATTTAAACCCTTGTGGTAAAGACTGTTAAGATTCAAGTCCAAAATTTCCGTCAACTCTCCGTTAATATTGCCCCCTCCTCCCCCGACCCCCTATACACTTTCGACTTTCCTCTCTCTCTCTCTCTCTCTCTCTCTCTCTCTCTCTCTCTCTCTTTCCAGGTTCCCTTCGTTGTTCATGCCATTGTTGATGAACAAATCATCATATGAGAATGAGCGGCAATAAGATTTCAGGTCAAATCCCTCCTAAGATTAGGCAATTGAAAGTTAGAAACAACTGCAGGTTCCGAGCCTGAACAGGAACAACTTGACGAGTGATTCCAACCAAAAAGATTACCGAGTTTTGGTTGGTCCTGTTTTGGATGATGAAATACTGTCATTTGTTAGATGTTTGAGGGTCAGTGGGTCATTGAGCTAGTTGACTTGGCACTATTAAGCGGTACCTTCTACATCTGGTAGCCATGCAGCACTATCAAGATTCCTATGAGTATACCATGTTTTATTACTTGACATAATCCAGATTCCTATGAAATAACAAACAAGCAATCCAATTAAAGCTCCCACATAAGAAAGGATAACTAAAATATTCAATTTTACTTGGATTGGCTAGTTCTGCATAAAAAAAAAATCTAGTCGCTTTGGTGGACAAAAGAATTTTGAATGAAATTGAAGCATGGAGCAAAGGATTCATATCCTTTGACTGAAATGATTATTTTTCTCTTTTGGTTATGAAGGCAGAATAGGTTTAAAAAGAAAGTTGACGAAAATGTTAATTTTGAGCTTGAAACCTAACAGACTTCACCACGAGGGTTTAAATTTATTTTTTTTCACCACATTCCTGATTACCTTATCACCACGGGAATCATTAATCCAATTATGCCTAAATGCAAAATGTCAATAAATAAAAACTAATTCATTTGAATTCAAATGTGTATTAAAAATTACAATATTTTTCATAAAAAAAAATTATATAAGAAAAAGACATTGAATGACATTAAATAGAGTTTAGGGACTAAAATTAAATTTTAATCTTGTATAAAATATTTTTCTTATCTTATTTAAAGATTAAAATTTAATTTTCTATTTTCTTAAACTAATGACGTGATGTGAGCGCTGGTGTCGGCACAAGTCCACATACATGGCCTGATGAATGATGAAGACATCTTTTAATATGTTTCGGATTTTTTTACCTAAAATAAAATTTTTAAAAAAATGTTGGATTTTACTCTAAAACGGGATTCGTGGTCAAGGACGCCGGTTGGCATTTTGTTTTGCTACATTGTTTTTGCAAGTGGCGAATGGTAATTTAATTGCGGATAAGATTAGCCTCCCTTGGGCTGGCTAGTGGCTAATAATTTGGGCAGTCCTTTGTGGTCCAATAGCTTTGTTTTTGCGAAGCGTGAGTTTTGTGCGGGGTGTGCAGGTTCCGTCTGAAACATTAATGTCTAGTTTTGTATTGCTGTGTTTTTTTTTAAAAAATTCATTTCTGTTGTGTTGTAAGAGTAAATAATTGTAAAATAAAATTTTTGAGTATTTGACAAATTTTTTTTTTTTTGTAAAAGTGTTTTTAACAAAAAAAAAATGTCATAGTATTTAATAAACTTTTATATAAATTGTTGTGAATATGTTAAATGATTAAAACTAATATGGTATTTAATTTGATATAATAATTGTCAAAGAAAATAAGGTATGGGTAATGATTGTAATTTTGTAAAATATGTGGGGATATCCTTGCCATTTGAAAATTTCATTATATTGGCACTGATTGCTATGCTTTAAAAAAAACACTTTTTTTAGAAAAATAATATATCATGCTTCTGTTTTTCTATGCTTTTCTACTGTCATTGGTATTAGTTTTTTTGAAAAAAAAAACTTTTTTTTTTTTACCAAACACATTTGATGTTCCAATTTTTTTAATAAGTTGTTTTATTTTTAAGCACCACAATCCCAACACAAGCCCCAAGGGTTGTATGCAATTGGGATGGTGAGGGATTTTAATTCTTTTAACGAATCTAGGGATATTCAATTAAAATTTTAAATGATTATCTGAAATTCAATTTGTATTCAACCAAGATTTTAAGATAGTTTATTAAGATTTTAAAGAAATTTATAACATTTCAGGTGTATTCAATTATGAATTTATTTTAAGAA